CCACCCCGGAGATGCCTATTCTGCGTTGGTTTCAGGAAAGCTCCTGAAGCCCGAGAGAACGGGTCAACGCGAAGCCCCAGGAGCATGCCGGCAATAAGTATGCCCATGAAATGCCCCCGGTGGACACCTCGTCCGTCACGCCTCCTGTGTCCGCTTGTTTGTTTTTCCCGAGGCCAATCAAATTCGAGACGCAAGATGGGGCCCGATTCCCCACATCAATTTTCTCATGTAGACCGACTTTTGTCTTCAAACTCCCTCTGTAATTGTACTCGTCGTACACAGAAACCAAATATAGGCCGCTTGATTTCTTGACTGAGCTTTGCCCTTTGTTCATCAACAAGTTGTGTCTTTCTCATAGGGCGCATGTACTTGTTCTATGGGAACAAGACGTCGGTGCAGTTTGCCAGCTTCGCCACCACAGTCAGCTGTCCTGGAGAGCTCCAGTCCCATATCCTTTCTTTTCTCTTGACACTCGATGGACGCTGCAAACGCCAAAGCTTGCATTTGGACACCAGCCTCATGTTTGGCCTTTGCGAACCAGTGCGTCTTGGCTGAATATCAGATATCTTCCTTATGGATTCAACACCCCCCCCCCCCCCCAAAAAAAAAGTGGTATGACGTATTTGCACCTTTTCCAGCATCTGTTTGATGTTCCTTGACAGAAAGCCACAGCTTAACGTTCAAACCAAACCAGTCGAACCACTGGTAGAGGGAGGCGCCCAGATCCAGCAGGTCCTCAACATCGAGTGTCTGACTGACTTTTCCGATGCTCCGCTACTCAACATTAAGTTCAGGTGAGCACAAAGTGCAAATTCGGAGTGGGCGAACCCATGTCAGAAAAGGGCAGTCGTCCCTCCACGTACGACCGCAATACTTTCCGTGAAGACTCGAGCCGTGATTTGATTTCAAAACTTTTGCCGTTGATAACTATCACGTTACCGCTTGCCACTCCCAGACGATTTGAATCAGATTACAGTAGAAAGAAATGAATAACTCTGCGAATTGGCATTGTGCTGCATCCGTTTTTGGGTCCGCGTGTTAATTTTTTGGAAAATATGTTGGACCAGAAATGCACTTTATTGAATGGGGCCTTACAGATATGGAGGCGCTCTGCAAAACTTGACCCTCAAGCTGCCCGTCACCATCAACAAGTTTTTTCAGCCTACTGAAATGTCCTCCAATGATTTTTTCCAGCGTTGGAAACAGCTTAGCCAGTGAGTTTGGGGCCAGTCGGTCTTTTTTTTTGTCTCTTTCTTTTGCTTGACGGGTAAAGCTTGCTTGTTTTGCGACCCTCAGGCCTCAGCAAGAAGCACAAAAGATTTTCAAGGCCAACCACAGCATGGACACAGAAGTACTCAAGGCTAAGGTATGGCAATATCGTCGTTGTACCTCCTTATGAGAGTTGCTTTGTCTCCACACCACGCGTTTGTATTATTCTCCCTCCCCCCCAAGTACTATATTTACAATGACTTTTGATAGAATCGGGTTTTTCAGCAGACACACCCATCAAGTTTCATGCTTGCTTGTAGCTACTGGGATTAGGAGCGGCCTTGCTGGACAATGTCGACCCAAACCCGGAGAACTACGTGTCTGCTGGAGTGATCCAGACCAAGGGTCAGCAGGTTGGCTGTCTGCTAAGACTGGAGCCCAACGCCCAGGCACAGGTACAAGCTACAGTTGTTCGTAAAACATTGGTTTAGCATGACGGTTCTGCCTTTTCAAAAGTCGATCTTATTTTTATTGGTTGACTCCACAAATTCATCGGAGGGTGTCCAAATTGGAAGGACATTTATAAGGCACTTTGTTTAAAAAAACAAAAAAACATTTAAGGCTTAAACCTCTTATTGAGCTGACGGTTTCGTCTGTCACTTCAAAATAAAGCTCCCCGACCCCGACCCAGTCGAGGCTGCCATGGAAGCAATGTGTCCCACTTGATGGCGCCATCTCCGTGGGGACCTCAATGGCGGCAAAATCACTTCCGCAAAAAAAAAGTTAGCTTGTCAAAACTAACACAACACTAGAGTCACCGGCGTGTCTCGGGACAAGAAGAGAAAGTGCTGATGATGCACAGCCAATCAGATCAATCCACCCGTGCTCTCATTGCCGGGAACCAATCACGCGCCTTGTTTTAGTGGCCATGTAGAAAGCCTCTCGCTCACGTGAGCTCTTTGCGCGGCATGCAGGGAAATCTTCTCTCTCGCGCATCAGCATGAAAACCTCCCTTGAAAACCTGAAGCGCAAAGTGGCGAGAGATCACTGTATGCTTGCTTTCGTCCACAACTTTTATTGTTTGTACCTCTGGGTTACATTGTCATCGCTTGTGCAGTTGCATTTGAATAGATCCAATGTCTGTGTGTGCGCAGATGTACCGACTGACTCTGCGCTGCAGCAAGGACTCTGTGTCGAGGCGCCTCTGCGAGTTGCTGGCCCAACAGTTCTAGAATGGCCAGAGTTCCAGAACTTTATCAAGACCAGTACTCCCACCTCCCCCCCCACCAGCGAGCCCTTCCCTCTCAAGCCACATTTCTCTTCCTCCTCTCCCAACAATAAGGTTCTTTATTACAAAAAAAAACACAACAACAACAAGGTGTAACCTACATAAGGGAAAAAGCAGTCACTGTTAGCAGCGGTGACCATATTATTGTCATTATTCTAATTCAAGTTCATCTTCAGTTTGTTGATTAACATGATGCTACATTATCGTTTTTCTTTATGGTGTTTACCTGTGTAGCCGGTGTATGCGACCAAGACGGTGCGTGTGCGTGTGTGCGTGCAGCCCACAGTGTGCTGTGGTCCTATTCTGCTTTATCCCTGGCTGTTCTGTATTCCCGATGCTATATGTACAGTGTGTGTGCGTATTTGTGTGCGTGTGTGTTTGATTTCTTCCGATCAAATGGAAGATCATTCCTCGAAGACAAATGGGAGACAGTATTCGTCAGGCCCATTCTCTCCTGTCTCATTCACACGCACATTGACACAGCCCATTGCACAAGCGGTTCCTTGTGACCCTCGTCGGGTCCAATAATGAAGGGAGACCTGAAGGTCCAGCACTCTCATTTCAAGCATTCCCCATGATCATAGGCCAGTGAAATTGCACTTAAAGGCTTTTGGGATCCTCTGTGAGAGCCTCCGGCATGAGCCCCCCACCCAATTAGTGTGAATCGGCGGAATCCTCTCTAAGGAGTAAACCCTACATTTCAATGACCTAGATGGTTTGTTTGTTTGTTTAATGTGTCTGTAAATATGCGACAGTGTTTTACTTGATTGCCTTCCTAGACATTCCCATCTGGCGATTGGCTTCGATGATCAAGCCCAGGCTGCCCAATGGCAGCAAACGGGATGGCGGGTGACTGACACGGGGTCGACTTTTTCCCAGTTGAAACAGTAAGAAGGACTTCTCTCAGCCGCTGTCCAGCTGGAACATTCAAATCTGCTCGACAAGCCTCCTTCAACATTGTTTATGAAGTGAGACCTAATTGTCTTTTTGAGACATGCCTTCTCCAGTTTTTTTTAAAGCTTCATTTCCTAGGATACTATATTCAAATGCTGTCTTTTGGCCATCAGATAAAACGGTCCTCAAGTACGCCGATATTGATTTGATGTACCGCTCCAAAGTACATTCGGAACATTCTCTCCATGAAGGCATGCGCTGCCGCAATAAGTGCAACACAAACAGTCAGGAATCAGGGGCCCCTTGTCTTCTAGCATCGTGAATCCATGCACGTCCAAATATTTCGGTCACATATATCCACAGCTTTGATATTCTTTCTTGGGCTTCCCCTCGCACACCCGAGCGGTAGCGACATTGTGGAAGACTAAATAGAGTTGTCCATCATAATGACAGCGGATCCCGTTTGTATGAGAATTTGAACAAGGCTGGAAGCAGATAAGAAGAAATCCTTTCGACATTTTGGAGACATCGTCACATGACAAGATGCGGCTGCAGAGAAATCACAAAATATTGGAGTGGAAAGCCGCGTCCATCCTTTTTTAAATTTTTTTTTTTTTTTGGGGTGGGGGGGTGTCATTCTGTGAGCGTGTGTTTGTGTGTGCGTGTCTTTGCAGTATCCACTAGCTAATGCAGCCTCATGTATTGATGTTTAAAAAAAAAAAAAGAAAAAAATGTCCACTACCTGTGTTAGAATTAAGATTTACTCTGTAATGAAAAATGTGAAAGTAAAACTATGCCATATATCGAAAATGACGCTTCATGTGTTCACTGTTGCGCTCTTACAGCGATGACATCATTGTGTCCTAGGAAACAGAATGTCAAGGAGCTGCAAACAACAATAGATCAAAAGCGGGCAGACATTCAGATGCATGAAAAGCCCGTATTTAGGAAGGCAACTCTTCATTTGTGGTGATTCGCGGCTACGGACAGCAGGGGGAGCCCAACCTTTTTTGACCCGAGCGCTACTTTTCAAGCACCGAACCTCCCGCGAGCGACCTGTTAAAACGCGCGCGCACGTGCGTGTATGATGAGCAACAGCAATAACGGGCGCGAACATGAACGAAATAAAGTCGAGACCAGAGTTTGTGAGTTGGTGAAAAGGAAAAACCCCGCCTAGCTTCTTTACAATTGCCATTGATGACTTGGACATGAAACAAACTTGGAATGATGACAATATCTAAGCAACAGCTGTGATCGCAAGCTGCAATTGCATTTTTTTTAATTATAAATGTATCGCTTTGAATATCCTTTCTCCAGTTCAATTTTGAATCCGTGAATTTGATGAGCTCGCGTGAGAATACATTCTGCCTTTGTGGACGCGTGTGCGCAGTTGCTGAGCGGCACAAAAGTACCGGTCAATGCAATGAGCAATGTGTGCAATTTCCGCGGTCATCTGATTCGAACACAATTGGCCGAGTGGTGGAAAATGCACAAGGCCGCCCTTATTTGCATATCGACGTCGGAGTGGCGGTGATGAGGCAGCACTGACCAGTCTGCCACGCTCCGCCCACTTTCCTCTCGGCAGGCATCCCTGTTCGGAGAAAGGGGTGGTGGGGGGTGGGGGGCGTATCACTTTTGTGCGCCTGCGCCTGTGGATGTCCAGCGCGATGCGGATTGGCTGAAAATGACATCACCGCTCAAGGTTTATTGTTGGTAGGAGGATGATCTCATAGTTTGGAATCAGTCTAGAGGAGAATCGAGAACGAACGCTACGTCGCTGGCGTGGAGTGAAAGAATCTGCAGAACTGCAACTGACACCGACGGGAACAAAAACGCAATTTTTAGAGAAAGAAATATCACAGTAAGTAACTGCATGACTAATATCCTCTTGGAAGAAAAACAATCCCAATGCAACCCCTTTATGAAAATGTTAAAGCTTCTTTGCAGCATGAATGTCTTTTACTTGCTGCTGTTTGTGTCGAACTTTCAACTGCAACATGGAAATAACAACCCACTAAATTAAAAGGTAAAGAGTGAGAAAAGCCTTTGAAATGCATGCATGCATAAGAAAAAAAATATATATGTTTAATGTAGATAGATATATATTATATAAATATGTATACACAAATAAATGTAATTATTACTCTTTTCATCTCAAATGCATATTTGGAAAAACTGCAAACACTGTTCACTAATTAGAGATTGGGAACTGCATATATATATATGCGCGCGCGCACACACAGAATCTATAAAATCAAATGAATGTGTCGTTTATTGTGTTGTAGATATGGTCTGGTCCATGGAGGGAGAGACAGAGCGTCCTCCTCTGTCCATCATCCTGCCAAGGCTCTACCTGGGAGCAGAGAGCGATGTGACGCAGGTAATAAGGCAATCGATGACGCAACTGAGCGGCCTGCAATACGTTTCCTCTGACTTCATTCAAAAGAGCGCCTTTCACTTTGAGAAAAAGCCTGTACAAGTGTTCTAGATTGATCGTGTAATTGTGTGTACAGGATGGACTGGCCTCTCTGGGAATCTCCTACGTGCTGAGCGTGAGCCGCTGCAGCCCCCGACCTTCCTTCCTGCCCTGCTCCAGATACCTCCGCATCCCCATCGATGACTCCCTGTGGGATGACCTGCTGCCCTGGATCCCTCAGGCTCTACGTTTCATCGGTCAGGACTCGCCACTCGAAGAAGACGCGACGTCATTCGGACGCCGATATCTCACTTTGATCCCTAATGAATGCAGACGCAGCGATGTCTTCCGGTGCCTCGGTGCTGGTTCACTGCGCAGCCGGAATCTCTCGCTCTCCGGCCCTGGCCGTTGCCTACATCATGTACAGCTCGGGAATGGATCTGGACCACGCCTACAGGTTGAGCATTTTACACATCACCCTAGTTCATTAATATTATATCTTTTTTTTTTTGGGGGGGGGGGTTGTTTAGTATTTCTGTAAATTCGGTGCATGGTGTTGTTTCAACTAAGAGCTTTCAGAAAACATAAAATTGTTGCGGTAGTTATTTTTTATTATTTTTAACTTTTACGAGGGAAGTCAAGTCAAAAGTGTTGTCATTTTCAATCCACAGCAAGTTGCAAAATGGTCGCCCCCACAAATGCAATGTGACTCCAAAGGCCGTGATGATTTTGTCACTTCACTCATATTCCACAAATTAAATCAGTCAAGCAAGTAATGCTATATTGTGACATTTCCTTTGGAACACTTTTACAAAACAGCAAATTGTTTCACGTTGTTCATGATTTTAGGGTGGCCAACACCCCCGAATCCGAATGTGATTCAATGATGAGTAGTGGCACCAATTTTTTTGTTTTTTTTTTACACCCTCCCTTCTCACTCTGACAACCTCTTTTTTTTTTTAAACTGGCCCCATGGCCCGTGTCATTTCTAGTATATGCCGTGGGCCACTGAAAAATGGATGGCGGGCTGCAAATGGCCCCCGGGCCGTAGTTTGGACACTGCTGCTCTAGTGAACGCGCCTGTAGTTACAGTAAGGACGTCTCTCTGGGCTTGACCGTCTTCACCGTGTCCGCTTGCTCGGCAGGTTTGTGAAAGAGCGCCGACCCTCCATTTCGCCGAATTTCAACTTCCTGGGTCAGTTGCAGCACTTCCAGGGCACCCTGCGTCGGCAGGCCTCCAGTGACAACTTCCCCAGCCGGCCGCCGGACAACGGCCTCCCATCCACGGACGGCAGTAACAATCGCAGCGCCACCATTCCCAAAATGAATGATCAGGCCGGCGGCAAGAGTGACAGATCAGCGGAAGAGATGCAAACGTGCCCAGAGAATTTCTGTCAGCTGAGACATTCGAATCCAGACGCAAACGGGAACCGGCAGATTTCCTCGTCGGGGAAACGGTGGACTCACAATAACAACCAGCGGGAAATCCAGACACCCTGGGGGCTGCCCGATCCGAGCCCCTGTGTATTGATTAAACCAGCACCAAAGCCCGCACCACACCCAGCTGCGGTCTCCCCTTCTCTCTCGGAGAGGCGCAAAAGCCTCAGCCTCTGCTTGACCCCCTTGGGGAAGGGCCCTCCCTCGGCGACGTGCGACGGCATGCGAGCCAACAGTCCCGATTTGCCCAGGGGTGTCCACGAGGAGGAAGCGGCGGCGGCGGCAGAAAAAAAACGGGAGGCAAAGACCTTGCGGAGGCATGCGGGGGAGATGCGGGAGAAGCGGAGTCCTTCGCCGGAAAAACACCACACCTCGGAGGCGAAGGAGCAGGGCCTTCTTTCGCCGCTCAGCTGCACGCTCAACAAACTGCTGGACTGGGGGGAGAGAGTGCTGCTTGGCGGGGTTTTTGCCCACCCTGTCAAGATGGGGCAACCCGCTTTGCCATACAGGTGCTGAGCCGAGTCATCTTGCGTGCATGTTTCTCCAAAGGAATGACGCCGTATGTGAGGTACACCGGCGGTCTGCAGCCAGCTCCTTGTTTATTTTGTTATTTATTGCGGGAATGACAGATTGATGCGCCACTTCTCCGCTTGTTTTGGCCCGGTCGTCTTGTCGTTTGTAAGATGCCGTCATTTTTAAGTCATTGTCGCTTTGTCCTGAATTGTACAGTATTGACTGATTAAAGAGTGAATTTCAACCACGTCTCTCTCATGAACCTCCTTTTCACAGAAAGACAGTGTAGTTCTGCCTATAATTCCATTCTTTCATTTTCTACAGTGCTTGTCTTTATCCAAATCCAATTCCAACGAAGTCGGGGGGGTGGGGGGCTCGGGTGACCAACCGTACCCAGTGTTGCAAAACATGGCCACTTTCGCGCTCTATTAATTAGCCACTTTTCAGACCCCTCGAGCCACTCGTTTAAAAAAAAAAGCAGACAAAGACGACTTATTGAAAACAGAGAGCAAAAAAAAAAAAAACGACAAACGGCGAAAACGGAGCAAAATCAGAAATGTTGAGAAAACTGCACACGAACAACGGCTTGAGCAAGGCCAATTATTTTAGGCTGAATGGTCGGAGTGAGAATTCTTCAGTCGTCTGTCATCACGACGAGAGGTGCGCAGCTGGAATGAATCAGTCCATCTCTGCCACCTGCTGGACACTAACAGAACCGAATCATGACAACAATACATTTTCTCTCTCTCTCTCTCTCTCTCTCTCTCTCTCTCTCTCTCTCTCTCTCTCTCTCTCTTTTTCTCTCTCCCTCTCTCTATATATGGATTCATTTCGAGATCAAATAAAAGCTCTGCATCAAAAAGAACCGATGGGCTCACGATAATAAGTTCCATATTTTCCATATTAATTTTATTAATTCATTTTTCTTTGTGACAAGATATTCGAAATACAATTCATTTTAAAAATATATATATATCAATAGGAGTTCAACACCAGTGGAAACGACACACGCAATGAAAAATAAACGTTGTTACATCGATTTATACCTCTCACCGTCAATCAAAGCCTAGCATTGAAATGTTTGTCAATGAATACCGTGTTTGTATTGTTAGCGGCCTATGGAGGCGTACCTGATGTTGGGACAGCTGAGTTTATGTAAACGACCAAGTTCTTAGCTGCCTCAAGTTTGCCGAGAGTGCAAGATAAGAACTGTGTGATGAGGTAGGTGTGTTCTCGCCCCAGGGAAGAGATTTCCCAACCCGCAACCAGATTCAAGTGCCGGGGCGCTGAATATAAATATGGAATCAGAAGATGAAGCGAATGAATATGTCAATACAAAAACTGCCGAATTTCCCAATGTTCTCAATCCTAACAAACTAAACAATTAGAAGAGATAATCACGGGAAGAACTCAACGGTGGTTATTGGTCTTTTCGGTACGCGAGCACGCGCTGCATTTACCTCTTGCGCGCGCCTGTTAATGTGACGTCACGGCCACTCCCAATTTCCATATAAGGTATCTGACACGCTAAAGTGGAATTTGTTCGGAGACGAATTTGAATTGACGAGGGGAGACGGCGTCGTCTTGTGTTCGCTGTCGGTGAAAGAAAGAAAGAAAGAAAGAAGACGAGTACGCCGTGCGCTTATTTGAGTCAATCGCGTCGTGCCGCGTTCGCTTGACTTTCTCCAGAAAAAGAGGAAGCAGTTCCGCCCTCGCAAGCCGCGGTGAGGCCGAGTTTGAGAGCGGAGGGAAAGCAAAGAAGCAAAGCGACGACGCAACAGGCTCCGAAGCTTGAAACTTCACAGAAACGGCGCTGCGATCTTTTGTCCCATCGGACAAACATTCCGGGGATTTTTCCTTCCCTTTTCAGGTGGTTGGTGGTGTATTTAGAGTCTCGTCAAAAAAAATCAAATAAATGAGTTTCACGTTACCAAGTGCAGTTTGAAGTTCTGGTTGGTATGTCGTACTAGGACATTTTATTTGGACTTTGATCTTGCTTTTTATACATTGCTGCGAGCCGGTTGGCAGAAATTTCGTTTTTAATTATTGGTTCGGACAAGTTGAAAAAAACGGCGATGAGTGGCGACGAGGAAAGATTCAAACTAGTTGTGGTGGGAGGTGGAGGAGTGGGCAAGAGCGCCCTAACCATCCAGTTCATTCAGGTAAGGTTCTTTTCCAACAAGCCCCTTTACTAACATAGCACGCATGGCTCTGGAGCTAAGTTTATACGCGCTGCTGTCTAATTAAGGCGTCGTGTGGATGTGGGTTGGTGTTTTTATGGCGGATGGGGGTTGGGAATCATTTGAACATGGGGGTGCTCCCTTTGCTCCCCGCACGAGAACATTTTCCCAAAAATTGCTTTTTCCGTCGGTGTTGTTGATGGCTCGATGCAGTACATTACTCCCCATTGTTACACAGTAAGTACCGTGGAGGGGGCGGGGGGGACATTGTTTATGCTGCCCATGTCAAGGAGTTGTGATGTAATTAATTTCAGGTAATTTAGAGACATTTTTCATTGTCATATGGGTGAGTGACCACCTTAGGGCAACGTTGGATTTCATGTGGGTGTACAGTGTGCTTGAATGGGCATCGGCAGCGCAACGCTAACAAGGATTGTGTCTCCCAGTCCTACTTTGTGTCAGACTACGACCCGACCATTGAAGACTCCTACACGAAGATCTGCACGGTGGACGGAAAGGAGACCCGCCTGGACAGTAAGATCAACTCAACTCAACTCTTGACTCAGACGTATTTCGAGAGCACTTTGTAGACAAAGCGCTGTACATGGAGCCAAAAGAATTCATACGACAAACGATAAAAAATAAATGAAAGACAGTAGAAAGCACAAAAACGATCCAATTAAAAATCGAGTCTCATATGGAGTCAAAGACCAGAGAATCGAAATGAGTTTTAAGACAAGTTTTAAAGATGGGCAAGCGAAAAAGCGTAAAAGGCGTCATCTCCTCGGAGCCTGCGCTTGGTATCTCGCTGCCTTGAATAGTGTCCGGTCCCGGGCAGACCTGAGGCAGCGGGCAGGAGCTCAGAGAGGTCAGGAGGCGGCGGGCCGTTTCAAGATTTGAAAACAGCTCATAGGATCTTCAAAAGAGCTCGAAAATGAGCCTGTGAAGGGAGGACAAATATGGAGTTAGGTGCTCCCTCTTATGAGAGTGCGAGTAGCGGCATTTTGGACCGACTGGAGACGCTTGATGGAGGATTGGCTGACTCCAAGGTGAAGTGCGTGACAGTCTTCCAGCAGAGATGTGACAAAGGCGTGAATGAGTGTTCCAAAGTGCTCACCGGAGAAATGAGAAGCTTGACTTTAGCCGGGCCGCCTAAGAAGCTGCAGTTGACAACGGCACCGATCCAATTTGCCCGTCCAATTTCAAATCACTGTTCCGTTTAAAACGGAATGAGATGAACAAGGCCACTGGGACCAAAAACCATCACTACTGTTTTCCTTTCTTGGAAATTCAAGCCACACCGGCCACGATTTGTAATATTAGTCACAGTTCTGAAGGATGTCTGGTGTGTGTGGAAGTAGGAGTGAGGGGGCGGGGGGGGGGTTGTTTAAAAAGCAGAGGGCGTGTTGCAATGTGATGTGAGATGACAAATGCGCAGTGTTTGCTTTGTGGATGTTCCCTTGTTAGGACTTGCACGTGGCGGGTGAGTTACTGCACCCTGGTGAAACTTGGAAGTGTACAGAAATGAGAGCACGCGTGGTGTGGATCAAACTGGATCCAATTCAGCGCCAAAGTGCTGCTGCGAAGGGCGCGACCATCATATGACACGCAGATGCGCTGACGAGTCCGCGGCCGTCAGCCCGACTTCCGTCACGCCACTTTCCCCTCATGTACCTCACTGACATTGAAGAACTTGGATTCGAGCCCGAATATTGAAGTCTCGCGCGCATGTTCGCATTGGAGCGGCACGGCATTGATGGCTTAGCGCGTCGGCCTCGCGGTTCAGAGGTCGTGGCTTTCAATCCGGGTTCCCACCTTCCCGAATCGAGTTTGCAAGGTGCTTATGTTGGTTTTCATTGAAGACTCTTCATCAGCGGTGTCCAAACTACGGCCGCCATCTATTTTGCAGCGGCCCGCGTCGTGACCCAAAACCCCCCGCCCCCCCCCCTCCCCATTTGACATGGGCTGCATTACCTTACTCTTAAAATTGTAGCTATTTGCCTTTGCTGATGCGTTCCAATTTTTGTACATTTGATTTCGATGATAAAACACGACGCGTCTCTTCATCTTTAATAACCCCTTTCATGTTTTCCTAAGTCTTGGATACAGCGGGTCAGGAGGAGTTTGGGGCAATGAGGGAGCAGTACATGCGCTCAGGAGAAGGCTTCTTGCTGGTCTTTGCACTCAACGACAGGGGGAGGTAAGTCTCCGTTTGGGGATTTCACGCCGGCAAACGTGACGTTTGACATCTTTTCAGCATTGGCAATGCCGCACTGTGTCATCTGCACGCGCACGGCGCGATGAGCGACAGCCACAACGGCCCCTAACGTGAACGAAACAGAAAAATAAAGGAAATGCAAGAGTTAGTTCGTTAGTGGGAGACCTGATGCGAAGGCGCGAGATGCACTTTTGCGGCGTGTTGAGTGCAGAAACTCTCGGAGGCCGCATGGAGCGTTTTGAAAATTCTTGGAAAGCATGATTACTGTTTGAATGCTAATTGCACAAATAGACATTCTCCTTTGCATCAAATGTCATTGATTTTCCAAATGAAAATCAGCGGGCTATGTTTTGACCATTCTTGATCAAATTGTATGTCAATATCCGATGAGAATATTGTGTTTCCGTGTTCTCATAACGGATTTCAGAATCTACTTGTTTTGTTCTTGTGTTAAATCTGTGTATGTGCCGATCTCAGCTACCACGAGGTCCAGAAGTTTCACACCCAGATCCTTCGAGTGAAGGACCGGGATGACTTCCCCATGCTGCTCGTCGGAAACAAAGCGGATCTGGAGCAGCAAAGAGTGGTGAGTTGGGGTATCTTTTCCAGTGCTCTTGGAGATGCCGGGACGTGCGCGGCCATCGCGGGTCGGAGGTTGAGCCAATTGAAAAACGTCCTTGCCGAATGGTCGACGACGCCGAAAGCCCGCGGACCTCCAGGCTGTGGGGGATGGCGCGGGCAATGTGGCGGGGCGCGCGGAACGTCACCCTCGGGTCGTTGTTGTCACCTCCCAGAAAACACAGCAAACACTTCCAGTGTTTGAAAAACCACACTCAAAAATGGTTGATATTTTTTTTTTTTGTCGACGAGACCGTTTAGTATCAGCGCTTCCACCCGTGGGTGCCCGGTAAAGGATGGACCCAGCAAGGTGATGTTTTTTTGTCCTTTGGAATGATGGTAGTTAGCAGCATTAGGGATCAAAAAACAAAACAAAACAAAACAAGGGACATGTTTTCCACCCAAATGGGCAAAAGCAAATCTTTGTGTCGATCTGGATATGAAGGTGCAAGTGAGCCATCACGGCAGCAAGGTGTCACACAACACAACTTCTCCTCTCCACGGACGTGAACTCCACTCGACGTTTTGCGTGTCACCCGCTGGCTTTCTGCTGGCTTGCCCTCTGAACTTTTGTGTCGTCTCCTGTTTTGGCTTAGATCTCCAGGGAGGACGCTCAGGCCTTTGCCAGAGAACACAGGATCCACTACATGGAGGCTTCGGCGAAGAACCGCTACAATGTGGACGAAGCCTTCTTGGAGCTCGTGCGGATTGTCCGGTACTTCTTTCTTGCCTTGTTTCCTTTGAGCCGCCGGCTCGACGCTCGGTACTTTTTGCTCACACGCGGTCAACGGACTGACGCGCGTTCTCATTCTTCCCTCACAGAAGGTTTCAGGAAATGGAGTGTCCTCCCCCTCCGGCTCATCACGCCGGGAAACAGAAGAGCGGCGGCTGCCCCTGCGTCCTCCTCTAAGCGCCGTTGCCATGGACACCAAAGCCTCTCCAGCTTGTGCCCCCCCAAAAAGAAGTGTGAGCGTTTGTGTGAGACAGTGAGCGAGAGACAACATTAAGGTGCATCATATTCCCATTGAATGGTTTCATTTGCACTTGTACCCCCCCAGCCCCCCCAAAAAGCAACTTGTAAATCAATGTACAGTGAACCCTCGTTTATCCCCCGGGGGGAGGGGGTTGGCGAAATCCGCGGAGCTGCTCTTAAAAGGTTTTCTTTCAAGCTTAGACAAGTCGACCAATGTTCAACAGTCTTTTTTTGTCCACACGTCCGTCGCTGATGAACACCGTTTTTGGGTGCAAACCGAGGACACAAAGATATAATGTACAATATTCCAACATGCATCTCAACAACAGAAAATACACGTTCGTCAAGGCCACACCCCTTTTCGGAATATGGGAGGAATGCGAAGAAACCGAAACTAAGGCCGTCTGCACCTCACGCTTTTCGTCCCTTTCCTCCGACGGAGCGAACTCCATGAACCGCTTCCTGCCACTCAATGCACCCCTCAAGTATAACAGCAGGGGGCACAATAACCTAAATAAATGTGGACCCCGGAGTAAATCACAGCCATTGTCATTTCACCGCCATGTAGAAAGGCACATGATTTTCATATAACCACGAACTTAGAATTGAATATATCATATTTTTTACACTGTACTGTGGAATGAAACCAAAGATCAAACGTAAATTTGGCAAGCTTTACAGAGACGAGGCGCGGAAACGGTCGCCCTCGGTCGACAGTCCCTTCGCCAATCGGGATGCAGAACACAATGCACTGTCAAGACAAAAAAAAAAAAAAAAGCACTGCACAAAAACAATCCGTGAAACAGCGAGGCCCCGAAAGGTGAACCGCGTTATAGCGAGGGTTCACTGTCGTGTATTTTCGGCTTGTTACAGTAGCAGAAATGCCAGGCAGTTGTGTTTAGCGACAGGAGATAATAATGACGGGGCCGGACAGAGTTACAGCCCAGAAATAGAGCCGCCCTCACATTATGGCGGGCGAAAAATATGTTGTTGCTGTTGTGGCAACGAGGTACTGATGTCAGCAAAGACATCGCCGCAATAGGTACTCGAACTCCCGCCGTAATGACGAGTTAGTATGCAGTAAACAAAGTCGGTCCGCAAGGCAGGAATCAAAATGTCGAGTGAGGGAGGCACACCCGATCACGACACGTCCTTGTGCGGCCATGTTCCGAGCCGTCCTGCAGGGGGCGGCAGAGCGAAGCGGCAGCAAAACATTGGCAGAGAAAAGCGAGCAAATTTGACAGCTGCAGTAGCATGGGCTCATATATACAGTATATATCTATATATATGTATATATATATATATATATCTATATATATGTATATATATAGATATATCTATATATCTCGAGCCATTTTTTCCCCATTTGTGGTGCCAATAATTTCAGCCAACGTGACTGCCTCGAATATGTAAACAGAGCTAGCGACCATTTCAAAATTAATTCTTGACAGTATTTGAAAGAAAATTAACAAGGGTGGGGTGGGGGAGGGTTGATGCAGCAGTGCACTGAACCACCAAGTGGCAGAACTATAGAACTCATTTTCTGCATGAATGCATTTGAACATTTGAGTGACGGCAAACCAAATATTAGAGTGTTCGTTTTTTTTCTGGGTTTATTTTGGTGAAGTGTGATGGCACTTGTATTTTTGCACGTGTACGTTTTGACACGATTCAAACCTTCACTGAATTCCATCAATAATCGTAAATGGTTTACAGGAACATCTTGACCAAACGAGTACTGTAGATGCATAACACTTTGAATCTTATGAATTGTTCTCTTGTCTCGTGGTGCGACGGCACCTTTGTGTACCACGCTCGTGCTCTTGATATGAAGCGTAACCCTCGCTAATACTGACCTCGCAATCCCTGTCCACATTACCGTGCTGCTGCCTGATGCCCGATGTCGGGGGTGTCCAATCTTTTGAGGGCCGCCAACAGAAAAATAGAAGGATGAAAAAAAAGAGCAAGGCCAGTGAGAGGCATTAGAAAAAAAAAAAGGGAGATTCGACTTTAACTTTACATTTCATGTTTAAAGCTTTGGGCAGTGTAGAACCATGTAATATTTTTTGAAATGAATTATTTGCATACATATTAACTGCAATGGAAATGTTTTCTTTGGACCTAAAAAAAAAAAATCACTCTTTTGTACGTCATTAAAATACTCAGTAAATCATTGTGTTGTGTCACTTGAATAATGATGCATCACGGCATGTATGCATCCAGTCTTTTCCAATTTAAAATACGGTGGCAGACACTTGTTCATGACAGCAACTTCCACTACTAGCAACCAAAATTGCACTGCTATTTGATAAAGATTGTATTTTATTTTTTAAGGAATATGGATGACACCATATGGTGCATCACTGTCAAATTTTGGTACCGAAGGGCCGCCGTCCTGCGTGCTTTTCATCTCTCCCTGTTGGAACACACCTGAGTCCTAGGATCAGTTTATCAGCGCAGCCGGAAAAAAAGCCCGATATCGATCGCTTTCATCGGAATCCCCTGACGCCGTTGGTGCCAGAGTGTGGCCCGACAAAGAATCGGGGCCCAGCTTCAGCACCAGTCAAGTTCCCTGAGACAACTCGTGTTGTGATTCGGCGCTATAGAAATAAAGTTGAATTGAATTTAGGCATTCCGATGCATCCATCTTTCCAGGTTGCAGTTGTGGAATTTCATTGACAGTTGAGCGGGGCGTGGCTTCAGCAAAGTCAATGGACACCCCCACGCCTTCTGAATTGTCACCGTTTTTGGGAGCCTCGGTTTCTATCTTTGTTTCATCATACAAATTCAAAGTACCCTTCTCTGTGGTTGTGTCCGATTTTGGCGCGTCAAGAGACGTTTATTTTTTTTCTGACGCAGTTACTCGATGCAGAACATGAAGAAACGATTTCCCTGGTGGTCCCTTACTATGTGTGCGTGCTTGTGCGGGGAGCGCGGCAGTGAGACAGACAGGTTGGGAGAGGTCCCGCCCTCCGGCCGGTATGTTGTCCAACAGGTTTTGGGACGGGAGTTCGCTTTGGGAAGCCAACGCTTTGTGTGCGACATTTACGTGTCTTGAGGTTTCCAAACAAAAACTCCCGAAAGACATCCGGCCTGCGCTGGGAAATCCCATGTTTTTCTGAAGAGTGGAGGAACACGCTACCGGGACATCTTTGGAGGAGCTGACCTGCAGCCCGGTAAGCAGCCGAGCCCGACCGGGTGCTTGTATCGTGTCGGACATGTTGGATTGAATTTCACTGAGACGTTTCCTTGTCAGGGTCCATGTCGTTTGTTGGCCTCCACGGCAGCCGCAATGATGTGGATTCCCGTCCTGGTCTTTCTGCAGCTGGCTTACTGCTCTCTCACCTACCGACACACATCGGGTAAACCACACCTCTTCTCACTTACTAGTCGCATCAGTGTATTAAAAAGGACAGCGAGAGAAGGCTTGTTTTCGATCAAGCGGGAGACAAGAATAATGCGGCCGTGTCCAAACGTTCTCGTTGGAGGGCCGCCTACAGAAAAATAGAGGGGCCGCTTTCAAATTTGTCAACTTTTTGAAGCTAAAGTTGCTCGAGAAAACAACTCTACATTGTTTGTATCATCCAGATCGGAAGTGTCCAAACTCCGGCCCCGGGGGCCATTTGCGGCCCGCTATCCATTTTTCAGCGGCCTGCGACATGACCAAACTGATCCTAAATCAGATGTTCCACATGGGCCTCATAGTTAGTGCAAAAAGGTGAAGGTGGCCAGTAAACCATTCACGGTTTGAAAAAGAATCACACAATTGAATCTTCAAAACACTGTAGTGAATTCCATTTTTGAGACAAAATGTGTTTCTTCCCATTTTGTACTCTGTTATTGAATTATGAAGACATCACAGATAACGATCCTCAAGTAACTGTTTGAAAATGCTCACCTTACTATAGTTTTCTTTTGGGGGGGGGGCGGGGGGGTGTTCTGAATGTGGAGAGGGCGTCACAGTGACCGACTGGTTACCCCAATGGCCTCACAACGCAGAGGTGCAGGGTTTCGATTCCGGCTCTGGCCTTGCTGTGTGGAGTTTGCATGTTCTTGTGCCTGCGCGTTTGCATTTGGGCTCATATGTAAAATCTCAAGAAAATACATTCCATTTTTGAATAGTAAAGTCACAAAATGTGAATAAGTCGAAGGTAATATTATGTTTGCAAATAGTATTCAATTTATTGTGTGTGTGTGTGGGGGGGGGGGGGGGGGGTGTACAATGAACCCCCCCACCTCCATGAACGTGAACAATGACATGAATGACTTTTGTGCATATGGCGCACGCTTCCGGAAGTGAATGCATGCCCTTTCTGACTCCAACTTGATTCCGCAGGGAAATGTTGCCCTTCCAATTTGGCTCCCCTTTGTGTGTCTTGCAGGGAGTTCCCCGTTAGTGGATGAGCAGTCAGCCAATGCCTTCCTGTCTCGCGCGCTGCTTTATAACAGCTGGGACCTGGAACTGGTGGTGCCGGACAACCTTGAAAGGGAATGTCGGGAAGAGATTTGCACTTACGAAGAGGCCAGGGAAGTGTTTGAGGATGACACTCAGACGGTAACGCTGCGGGGCAGCGGTCCCCAACATTGTTCGCTTCGTGTGCGGGTCACCTATGGGTCTTGATTGGTGATGATTCCCTTTTCTTTTCTTTCCATGGGCAGGAAGTATTTTGGAACGAGTACGTCGAAAGCCACGGTAATAATTTCAATGACTTGCACAAGTGTTTTAGTTCTTCTGATTCACATTTCTGTGGAGATTTGCATTTTCATTTTCCTCTGCTGTTTACAAAAGCTGTCCGTCTCAAATCTAATCGCATACACCGAAGAGTCCCGGCAGCGGCGCTCACGTTACTGTCGTGTCTTTGAAGCCTACGCGCCCAGAGTGGACGTGTCGGGCCTGGTGGCAGGGATCCTGGCAATCCTCGTGTGCGCTGTGATCGCCACCGTGCTGGGCCTCTACTTCTACAAGGCCAAGAACAAGGCGGGAAGGAGACCCGTGCAGTAAGTTCACAGCCAACGCACGCTCGTGTTGCTTCGGAAGCCAAATGGTGCCGAACCCCTTTTGAACTGATCGCAGGAGCGCCAACACTTAACTCAATCACCGCTGTTTACAACGTGCCGTACATGGAGCGAAAATCATTTGCCCGGCAACAAGCAAGGAAATAATACAATAATAACAGAGACAGAAGAAAGCACAAAAAAAAAAAAAAAAAAAAACGGGCAAAGTAAAAATCGAGTCTCATGCTCAGTCAAAAGCCGAAGAATAAAAAGGAGTTTGAAGACGAGTTTGTAAGATGAGCGGCAAGGGCGCTTGGCAAACGTTGATTCGGAAGGGAGGGAGCGGCACCGCAAAAGGCTCCATCCTCTCTGAGCCTCCGCTTGGTTCTCGGTACCTTGAGTAGCGTCCGGTCCCGTGCGGACCCGAGGCAGCGGGCGAGAGCTCAGCGAGGTAAGGTGGGCTCAGCTTTGCTGCGGTTGCTCTTTCCTCTCAACGTTTGTGCGCCACTTGTTGCTAGGCAGAATTCCTCCCGGCTCAATGTAAAATGATCATATATCACTCACTTGTACTGCGCTGTCGCCATAGCAACTTGGGAGAGAGGCTTCTTCCGCCCCGTGCAGCAGGGAAAAAAAACAAATCAAACAGGGATAGGTGATGAGAACAAAAAAAGATGCGCATGATGAAACTTACTCCCAAAACTAAATCGTGACTATTTACTGAGCACATTTCAAAACAAGTTCCAAAGTCCTTCCATGAACGAGTTGTCGCCGCATTGATGAAGATTTGGATTCAAGTGGTTTTGCTTTACCCGTGCACTTGGAACCCTCAACCTGAAAGAATTTACATTTACTAGAAGAGCATTGCTCATGAATGACAGAATCATTGATCAGTTGCAATCATGACAATTGATCATTAGTTTGTAATCTTGTCAGTAGATGGTAAGCAAGAAATACAAATGGGGAAGAAAGTCCAGAAGTCAACAAGTATATGTGAGTTCCCTTTTCAAGACATTGGACATTTTTGGTGGTTCATTAGCACCGGAATTATTATATTTCGAAAACACCACAGTTTTCATGCAGCTCATACCATATTATTTTGTTGTATTAATTCCGCCACACCTTAAATGCCGGTCCCTGAAAATATTGTCTGACTTAAACCGGTCCGTGGGGCAAAAAAGGTTGGGGACCCCTGCACTAGAGAATGTCCACATCGGCGCCATCTTACCCTCTTTTCCAAAAGCGGCCGGTCGAAGCATTCTCCGGAGAATTTCTGCATGATTTCCTGCGTCTTGTCTCCTTTGAGAATGGCGCAAGATGGGCGTCCGGCCCCTGAGATGGTTCCCCTGGCAACCGCCCCGGGTCTACCGAGTTACAGCGAGGCTCTCAACCGCAGCGGGATGCACGATGCCCCGCCGCCACCTTACTCGGGGTAAGTCGACGCTTCCTCCGCAACAAGTGCCACAGGGCCAATGCGCAATTCACATCCAGTCGACACAACCCACTTGGTCCAAAGTCCCGTGGCCTTTTATCAAATTCACACAGCAACATCTGCAAATCAAGACACCGCGGCCACAATGTTGGGCGAGGTACAAATATGTACTCGACTGTCATACCACTCTTTCACTAATAGATGCAAAAATGAGTACCCGGACACATGTGCGGCCATTCTTTGCCGGCGCCATCGGTGCATTGTACACGAAACAAACTCTGAAGGAGGATAATGCTAACAATAATAATGATAATAATAATAATAAAGATCTATTGCGACAGCTCTGATGGCAAACTGCAATTGCCGACCGCTGAGCGCTAACAACTTGCGGTGATGCAGATGGTGCGCCACCATAGGTTCAAGGTGACCTGCGTTTACATTTCATTTGATTCAATACTTTTGGGTGAAAGTGAACCTGATACAATGCTTCGGGTGCAGTGTACACGAACACAAAAACATGTCATATTAGAGACGTTTCACAGCATGGAGTTAAGAGATTCTTTTTGCCATTGAACAAGTACTCCTCCTTCATCCACACACAGCGGAGCCTTATTTTGAAAACGCGTTGTCGGTGTGAGGAGAAAGCCTTTCATCCACTCCACTTTTTGCACATTTGTTTCGATGACATCGTGACCCCGTATTCGCTCCACGTTCAACAGCATGGAGTTAATAGATTCTTTTTGCCATTGAACAAGTACTCCTCCTTCATCCACACACAGCGGAGCCTTATTTTGAAAACGCGTTGTCGGTGTGAGGAGAAAGCCTTTCATCCACTCCACTTTTTGCGCATTTGTTTCACAGCCGTATCCATTTGTAGCTACGCCGTCGATGACATCGTGACCCCGTATTCGCTCGGCAGACGGTCAAAGCGCGTCCTCCCTCCGCCAACATCTGGCGGGAGCGGAACCGACAGCCTGCTGACCGAGTCACTATTTTATGGCGGCGGCGCCATCCTGCAACGTCAACATCAATGCAGGCTAATGGCTAGCCTTGTTGTTAAGTCAGCTCTACGGACATTAAGAATGAGTGTTCGCGGTCAACGTTAAAGGACGAAAAAATATGTCATCCCTCGTGGACATCTGCAGCCGGGCACTCTCGAGAGGCTCTACATTCCAGGAGCAGAGTCATGCTCAGAAGTTTCTTTCTTGAAAGAAAACATAAGGGATCGGACATTGTTGAATTGATTGATTTATTTTTAATGATGGGCATTCAACAAAACGGTGACTCTGAAAATAAAGAAATGGTCCCCATTCAATTTTCTTTTCACAAAATTGCCAATATTTCACCAAGTCTCCCAGGACACGTATACTGTGCATAACTCTCAAGAAAATAAGGATGCCTGCAAAATAGCATTTATTTTCACGTTTCTGTTTACATATTAGAATATTTACAGACAGCACACACGCAGTCATTCTTCCAAAGCAATTATTGTGTGCTAAAGGAACGATTTTACGGTGCATATTAGTGACACTAATGTTGTAAACATGAAATACAACTGATATGCATTATATTTATGAGGATTATTTCCTAGAAAATCGCAATGATTTCTGTGATCATATATGCATGTGCGTGTATCGATAGATGGACAGACGTCAGATTTTCCGGTTTGTTTGACCACAGGGGGGCGCCATCTGAGCCTGCAGACCCGCGAGACAACGAGTGAGCTCTGAGCCAGCCAGCCAGAGCTGCTTCCAAGTGGTCGACGCTGCTGGCGCTTGACGACGGTTTGAGTCAAGTTGAAATATTGCATGTCGTACAACGTATTTATGGACGGGCTTGAGAGCCAAACTCAAGAACGGACACTTTTGACAATATGACGTACATTGTACAGATGCGAGGCTCTTAATGCGGTCCAGGTGAGAGTGAGGCTGACCCCCCCCCCCACACCCACTCACCCCCACCCACCAATGACTGCTCTGTTCTATATCCAGTTTGTGTGTGATGTGCTTGAGTCACAATAAATCCATTAAGTTTGAAAAAGATGTACATTGTAGCCAACTTGTCTGGCTAGTACAGACAAGTACACGCGCGTGCACGTGTCGGCAGGGGCACGTCAACGCGCCATTCTTTTGCACGTTCCAGCATGTGTTTGTCGTTAAAACGGCAGACGAGTGACCATAAAAAAGCGCAGCTCGTTCACCGCTGCCAATTTCTTCCCCGAAGCCCCCCCACAATACTAAGAGAGAGCTGCCGCGCGTGACAAATTGTCTGCGTGAGAGAGGAGGACTGGAGGAGCGAGGGGGGGGCGGAGGAGAAGAATCGTCTTAAAAATGGCGCCCTGTGAAGAAAAGGGGCCGGAATAGCTTCGGTGCGGAGTGGGCTTGCGTATCGGAGCTGCTGAGGAACGCGGAGCTGTGCGCGGGAGACAATAGACAGTGAAATATATGGGGAGGAGGTGCTCCTGGCTGATGTGACCCCCTCCTCCTCCTCCGCCTCCTCCTCCTGCTGCACTCGCTCCTTCTCCTCCTCCCTCCATTCCTCCCAGTCTACAGGCTCGTCGAGCCGAGAAATAAACAGAAGCGAGCGCACAGAAGGAAGAAGAGAGGACATTCCTCCCCTCTCTCTCTCTCACTCTCTCTACCCCTCCAGTCTCCCCCCCCACCACCCCACCCGCAGTATCTGCTGCCCATCTTCATCCAGGCAGCCTCCTCTCTTTTTTTTTCTTTTTCATGGAGAGGAATTATCCCGCAGCTGGTTTTGGAGATCTCGGCTCTGGGACGGGATGGAGTTACGACAGATCGGCCAAAGCAAGGTAAGCGAGGGGGTTGGGGTGGAGGGGGGGGGCATCTTGTTCCGCGGTCCTCTGCATTTAACCAAGCGGGGCTCGATGCACGGTACTGGTCTGCTCAGGTACAGTCCGTCGTATTGTCATTAACATGGGAGGGGGTGGGGGTTATAGAGGGAGGGCGGGGGGGCGTCTCTAAAATGTAAGGAATGCGATGGAAGCTTATAAGTGACAGTACGCTGAAGGGAGGGGGCGATGTCAAAGGGGGTGCTTCATGTCTTTCTTGAAATATGAACGCGCGGAAGTATGACAGATGACATCTGGCCGGCTCCACACGCGCGGCTGCATTGTTATCCGTCACCACTGCAGCTTTGTCCGCCTGAAGACAACACAAACGCGTGACAGGAGAGCAGACACTTGCAGCGAGACGCGGGCACGCTTCACTGGCGCTCGCTCTCTCGTCTGGACCGGGCAACTATTTGCACGGTTTCAATCGATTCCATGTCCAGTATCGCTTCGGGATTGTCAACGCCAGAAAGAGCGCCGGTGTTCTGAGATGAAATCCGACGTTTCCCTTGTTAGTAAACAGTGCTTTACAATAATGTCACGTGACCGGCGAACGTGCCGCCGCCGTCGCCGGATTGAACGTCAGCTAATGAGATGCCAATGCCTTCCGCAAGTCGCGCTGGCCGCCCGGCAAGTGGTCGTCGAGGTCTTACGTGGCCGCATGTGCGCGTGACAATGTCTGGACGAGTGCCGCACGCCACACGCCGACAGCCTCCGCGGGTCCGAGCCCCGGTCGCCATCGGGCTAATTATCGGGCGCGGAAGCTAACGCCGCCGTGTTGTGCTCGCGGCGGTCAACGCTGAACTACGGTCTTCCTCCCGACGATAAATGATTCATCGAGTCGATTTTCTTCCCCGCGCCGATGCTGCCGTCCCGTGCGGCGAAATGAAGCGCGGCCAGGAGCCTGGCTCAAGTCGGCTAGCTGCCGCTAGCTTCGCCGCTCCACGTTAGCCGTCGCCTTGACAACCACGTCGATCCTCCGTCGGATTCCTTGGCAGGATTTCCGTGGAAAAATGCTGCGTTTACATCTTTATACGTGGCAGCGATGCGGGATGAACGGACAGTAAGAGTGCGAAATGCAATAAAATTCAATGGAACTCTGCCATTGTGTAAAAAAAAAAAAAAAAAAAAATCACCCGTTTGTTTCGAAAGAGATCAGCGCCCCAGGGGGAGGAC